GCCCTGAAAAAGAACGGTCCTAGAACGGGACCTGCTCTGAAACCATGTTAGAATTAGGAATGTGGAATGATTGCATTGAGCAGGAAGATGAGTACAAGTATGAAACCCTTAAAGGGTTGTACTCACTAGAGTATGCCCCACTACAGCCTAGAGACAAACGAACATAATTTGACACACGGCACTGGTTAGGTTCGGGATTGGAGGATCCTGAGCTTGTTTAAGGGAATGCACCCTTGTAACGGATGCTCAGAGGCCATACCATGGAAGCCTTTACGAAGCATCAACTGGTACTGTGCGGAGGGGTCCGCACAACTGATGCGGCAACAGAACGGGGCCCCAATGCGGCAACAGAATAGTGCCAAGGCTCTCAAGATGTTTTGTTTGATCCTGCAGGATCCGATTTGTGACCCAGGTTCACCATGCCACAGCAGAGTGCCAAGCATCTTTGCCAATAAGAATCAAGGGTGCTTATGAGTGAATTTTACAGAATACCAGAGCGCATTTTTACTTTAGTGAATTCACCAAACACCACACCCGTGCAGGGTCGAGTCGCCAAGGCACTCGAAATCGGCTGGAGATTTCTGACATGAGTGTGCTGAGTGGCGGAACCTACTGACAAAGCCCGGTAGGAATCAGCGCAGGATGAGCTTGTTTCAGAGTTGCCTTGAAATCGGCAAAGTAAAACGGGAGAGCGCATTCTTTGTATATTCTTAGGGTACCTTGCATTTCGCCTGGGTCCCCTTGTCCATTCAATTTTCCTCTCTTCCGTCTCATGGGTAACTAACCTCTACTTTCCTCGAAACGTTTTGTGAGAACTTTATGCAGAATACGTCACCATGTACAACACTTCCACTGTATGCGCAATTACCTAACTCACGCACTCCATGTTCGGGTAATGCACGCGAATTTGCCCTGTCCATATTTGATTCCCTGCCCACGAAAAAATGGTGCCGAGAAGTTGCACCCAGTTTACAAGCCCCCCAGAGCAAGTTGCATTGATGATGAAGCACTAGTGACGAAGATACCGACGTCCAACTGTCAATGCAGTGATGATGAACCAATGGTAACGAAGAGACCGACGTCAAACCGTCAACGTGCAACTCTTGAGTTTTTTGTAAGCCCTTTATTGCTAGCTGCGACGTGGACGAACCCTTGCGAAATGAAGGAATAACTTAAAAGCCCAAAATGTGAGGAAAGTATTGGAGACTCGAATGAGAATTTGGTGTACCCAACCTAAGTTTACCTCCCCCTCCACTCGCACCACTCACCATTACCATTTGACAGTAGCAACAACACGTGCACTGCACAACTAGCTGAGCTACTAAGCTAGCCATGGCTGCCATGTTGACCCACCACCGCGAGTTGGAGGAACGTCAAAACCCGCTGTGGCTAGAATTGCTCCCCCATTGTCAGAACCGCGTGGGTCAACTGAGCAGTCAACCCTAAGTTACGAAGTCCCACCAGCACCGGTTGCAACCTGCTGTGGGATGGATTATCGCTGTCAGCTGTCAGCCACGTTACGCCACCTACCGGAGCTCGTCGAGGTGTTTCAACTAGCCGAGTCTGGCGTCAGCTAACGGGCCTGGTTTCAGTCGCGGGCTTGTCATGTCTTTAACGACCAGTTCCTTCTAACCAACTGCGCGGCACGATCGCAGGTTGTCAACCACATCACGGCAACTAGGCGGGCGTGGCGTCAGCCTAGTGCCGGTGATGTCTTTAACGAGTAGTTTGTTTTACCCAACCGTCATGCGTAGAGAGCACCTAGTTGGCTCAAACATGGCTCCGCCAGACTCGCCAGATAGCTCCACGCGCGCGTGCTTCTGCGCCAGCTGCTTCCGCTAGCTCGTTGCTTCTACGCCAGCTACTTCTGCCAGGCCGCCAACTCTTATTAGCTCCTCCTGCCAGCTCTTCGCGCCCGTTGCTTCCGCGCCAGCTTTCTTGCACCGGTTCACCTCGCGCTGGTGACGGATTCCGAGCCGCTATTTCCTGTGAGCCGCTCGCGGCTGTTTGCGCAGTACGGAGTCATGATTCACGGCCCAAGGTCGCTCGTGGGAGCGACTTTTGCGGCGCTTCAAGAATGATTTACGGCCCAAGGTCGCTCGTGGGAGCGCCGGGTATATTTTTTTTCCTGCGGTCAGGAGAGGCCTCTTCACCCGCCGTACAGTGCGCAGATGGATCAAGATCAGATCTGTAAGAGTTCCCGAGAAGCCCGAGGCGGCTTATGGTTGTATGAGCCGAATTTATAGTCGAATAGCTCGTCTGGCAGACTCGAAAAGCAGACTTGGAGTACCACGAGGCAACTTATGGTTGTTCGATGCTCGCCGTCAGGCAGACTCGACGCGCCGCTGCGGGAGGCGTGAGAGAGAAGTAGTCCTCCTGATATTGTACCGTTGGGTCGCGAGGTGATATTGCGCCGTGAGTCGAGTCCCTTCAGGCCTATAATGTTTTTCAAGATCGCTTATGCATTGAGATTATCGCGAAAGCGAATGACACGACGGCTCACATACTACCAGAAACGACTCGTTCTGTCCGATTGAAATGCGACTCCATCCGTTTATTAACTACTACCATCAATTAGTGCTGATAATTTCTGAGCACCTATTACCCGGAGTCACGTTCAGGATCACGTCAAGGCACTCATTTTCTAGACAGCTCACTTGAATCGCAGCTGACATGTTCGTACAATCTGCTCCGATGCAACAATGTCGGTCGACGCCTTAACTCGTCCAGCCATGGCTCCTCCCTCTCACCTGCCTTCTCCTGCGCCTGTTCCCGCTTCTGACCTAACTCCGGCTTCTGCTGGTGCTGCTGCTGCGGAACTAAGTAACCCATTTCCCGCTGCTACGAGGTCAAGTAACCCATTTCCCGCTGCTACGAGGTCAAGTAACCCATTTCCCGCTGCTACGAGGTCAAGTAACCCCTTTCCCGCTGCTACGAGGTCAAGTAACCCATTTCCCGCTGCTACGAGGTCAAGTAACCCTTTTCCCGCCGCTACGATGTCAACTAACCCTTTTCCCGCTGCTACGAGGTCTACTAACCCTTTTCCCGCCGCTACGAGGTCAAGTAACCCTTTTCCCGCCGCTACGAGGTCAAGTAACCCATTTCCCGCTGCTACGAGGTCAAGTAACCCATTTCCCGCTGCTACGAGGTCAAGTAACCCCTTTCCCGCTGCTACGAGGTCAAGTAACCCGTTTCCCGCTGCTACGAGGTCAAGTAACCCGTTTCCCGCTGCTACGAGGTCAAGTAACCCGTTTCCCGCTGCTACGAGGTCAAGTAACCCGTTTCCCGCTCCTACGAGGTCAAGTAACCCATTTCCCGCTCCTACGAGGTCAAGTAACCCATTTCCCGCTGCTACGAGGTCAAGTAACCCATTTCCCGCTGCTACGAGGTCAAGTAACCCATTTCCCGCTGCTACGAGGTCAAGTAACCCATTTCCCGCTGCTACGAGGTCAAGTAACCCATTTCCCGCTGCTACGAGGTGAAGTAACCCATTTCCCACTGCTACGAGGTCAAGTAACCCATTTCCCGCTGCTACGAGGTGAAGTAACCCTTTTCCCGCTGCTACGAGGTCAAGTAACCCTTTTCCCGCTGCTACGAGGTCGAGTAACCCTTTTCCCGGCCCTGCTGCCAATCTATATAGCACTTTTCCCGCTGCTGCTTCCGACTTCCGCAATCGCCGCCGCAGCTGGGACGCGGCGGATCCGACCAATCAGCGCCGCCTGCCGCTTTCGTCGCCGCACGCGGAAATCGCCGCCATGCCTTCGGGGCGAGCTGCTGCGCACGGGGGAACTGCGCAAGGGGGGATGGCGCAAGGGGGGACGGCGGCGGCGAGGAGACACCGATGATTCGCGAGCTGGGATCTCACTGTCTTGTCCAAGGTTCAAAATTACGGCCAAATTATTGCAATTATACCGTATAATACGGTTTAAAACGGTGGTTTATTGTTTTCTTTGTTTGGTTCAAAAATACGACCGTATAATTCGACAGAAAAAAATAAAACCGAGTCTGTGTATGTCGGAAATCAACATTTCACACGCATGATTCTCCGAAAGTCAAATTTCTCTTACAGCCGTACACACGAATGTGTTATTTTCCCGAGTCGCGTCATTCCAACATTTGGCAAGCGGTACCCATTCGATCCCACGTTTCGTTTTTTGCGTTAAACATTTTCGCACGGCGGATTTTTTTTTTTTTTCGCGCGTGGTCGCGACACATCCAAAAAACGCGATGCGAAACCTCTCCAACCAATCATAATACATCACGTGAGCTCAACCTGTTCCCAAACCCACTCGACACAACACGCCCAGTTTCCACTACGAGGTACTTAGGGGCTTGGTTTAGTCACTCCTGCACATATTCAAAGCATAGCTCTAGTCTAGTCTTCAGTGTACTCCACCACCCCGCGTGCCAGTCAGGACATACGCCATGGCAAGGCAGAAATCGCCATTGTGGAAGCACGTTACGATGGCTAAGGGACCAGACGGCGCTTTAACGGCGAAATGCGTACACTGCAGCGAATCCGTGACTGCTAGTGCAACACGCATTGGAGAGCACATATATGGGACGCCGAAGGACAAAGATAAGAATGTGACGCCATCAAACTTCGCGAGGAAGCAGCAGCATCTAGTTCGCGTTCTGGAAGCGCCACTCCGTCAATCCATGGCTCCACTTCAAGCCTTGACATCCAACCCACTCGTCGCGCTCGGCAGCGGGACATCCGCGACATGGTGGATGACTCTGCACGTGCTTGACTGGACTACCTCTGGGCCGCTATAGTGGCTGATAACGATTGGGCGTTCCACACGTCCAAGTCACCAGCCGTGCTGAACTTTGTGGATGCGGCTGTTGCCTTCAGGAAACAGTACACCCTACCATCCTCCTTCAGGGTTTCTGGTGTGCTGCTTCAGAAACTGGTGGCGGATACCGAGGACCTTGTACGTCCCCTGAAAGAGAGTTGGAACACTAGCGGCTGCACCATCTCCGTGGACGGCTGGACCTGCATGAAGAGCCGTGGGCTCGTGTGTGTCATAGCCCACAATGACACGGCGCCTGTCATTTTGAAGACCGTGGACTCCAAGACCGCGAAGAAGACGGGGGAGTGCTTGGCCGGCCTCATCCGGCGCTCGATCGCCGATGTTGGAGACAAGAAGGTTGTCCAAGTGGTCATGGACAATGCGTCCAACAACCGGAGGGCGGCCGACATCCTTCGTGATGGGTTTCCAGCAATTTTCTTCAACAACTGTGCGGTGCACGTCCTCGACTTGATGCTTCACGACATCGAAAACATCCGTGCAGTGAAGCGAGTGCTTAACCAAGTGCACAGGGTGGTTATGATCGTCAAGGGCAGCGCGTCCGCTGTCACGCTCTTCCACGAGTTGTTTAGCACATTATCCTTGGTGCGACCTGGTGCAACACGCTTCGGCACGCAGGTTATCATGCTTACCCGCTTCCTGGAAGTAAAGAGAGCGCTCAAGGAGATGGTGATAAGTGAGGAGTGGGAGGCGGTGGCGGTGGCACGGTCTGACGAGGGGCGAGCTGTCCGCCTGCTTCTCTTGGATGAGGTCTATTGGGACTGCGCGATAGCGGTCCTCCGCCTCATGACTCCCGTGTACGAAGTGCTGCGGGTGGTTGACACGCGTGCTCTAGTCATGGGCCAGATCTATGGCCTCATGCTAGATGCCATGGTGAAGACAAACGATGCGGCAATGGCAGCAGGTAAGCTATGAATTGCCACATGTTCTGACTACAGTATACCCTTCCCGCCCATTGTACTCACCTCGTGCACTCCGGTTCTCCCTATGTGCAGCCAAAATGATGCTGAAACGCACATCTCTCTTGCCGGCCAAGGACAAGCCGGCCTTTTTGTCCGCCATCAAGGCTATTATAGCCAGGAGGTGGGACGTCCAGCTCCACAATCCACTCCATGCTATTGGGTGGCTTCTCAACCCCCGGAATCAGTACCTCGGGGAGGTGAAGAACGATCCCGAGGTAAGGCTGGGGGCGGAAGCGGTGATCCAGGCCCGTGGGGTGGATGTCGCTCACCGCACGCTGATGTTGACGCAGTTGACGCAGTTTCACCAGGGAAAGGGGCTGATAGGGTCCGATGACGCCCGTTGGGCAGCAACGGTGTTGGTGGCGAGTGGGCGTTTGACGGAGGCAGAGTGGTGGCTGATGTACGGGGGGGAAGTGCAAGCGCTCATGGGGCTAGCTGTGATGGTGCTGTCACAGCCAGTCACGTCATATGAGGTGGAACGCTATTGGTCCGCCATTTCACGTGTGCAGAGGCGGGACCGTAACCGCCTCACCGCCAAAAGGATGATGGACGTGGCTGAGGTGGCGTTCGCCAGGAGGGCCAGGGATGCATTCGATAGGAAATCCCGGGAGAGGGAGAAGCTTTATGCCGATCTGGCCAATGGCACCCTCAAGCAAGGGTCTACCATTAAACCGTCAGCAGCAGCAGAGGAAGAGGAAGTAGAGGACGAGGAGGAGGGAGAGGGGACTGAGCAGCTATGCACCATTGATTGGGACCTTTTCGGGAACATTGGGAAGAGGAAGAAGAAGGTGCCTAAGTCCGCTAAAAGGAAGAGAAACGGGAAGGCCAAGAAGCCTAACAAGGGAAAGAGGAAGGCAACATCTTGTCAAACATTAATCACATAGCCTGTCTAGGCTGTAGTGGGGTAGACACTATGGGGTACAGTTTTCTAGGGTTTCATATTTGTACCCAACTCATTTCCCAATCATTCATTCCTATTTCTTCACATGGTATAGAGCGGGTTCCGTACTGGGACCGTTCCTCCCTAAGGGCCCACCGTTAAAAGTTTTTTTTACCTACCTGCCCGAAGCGCGCTTTTCGCTCTGCCCTACCTTTTCTTTTTTCGCGGCCCCCTACTGGCCTTTTCTGCCCTACGCGGCTCCTTTGCGGCCCGTTAGCGGCCCCCTTTGCGGCCCCGTCAGGCCCCGTTACGACCCCGCCCCGGCCCTGCCCCGTCGCCCCGAGCCGCCCAGTCGCGGCCCTACTGCGGCACTGCCCCGGCCCTGCCCCGTCGCCCATTGCGACCCCGTCGCGGCCCCGCCCTGGGCCTCCCCCGTCGCTTGTCGCGGCCCCGGCCCACCCCTGCCCTGCCCCGGCCCTGCCCCGGCCCCGTCGCGGCCTTGTCCCGGACCTGCCCCGGCCCTGCCCCGACCCTACCCCGACCCTGTCGCGGCTCTGTCCCGGACCTGTCGCGGCTTCGCCCCGGCCCTGTCCTGGCCCTGCTCCGGCCCTACCCCGGCCCTGCCTCGGCCCTGCCCTGGCCCTGCCCCGACCCTGCCCTTACCCTGCCCCGGCTCTGCCCCGGCCCTGCCTCGGCTCTGCCCCGGCCCTGCCCCGGACCTGTCGCAGCCCTGCCCCAGCCCGGCCCCGGATCTGTCGCGGCCCGGCCCCGGCCCTGCCCCGGACTTGTCGCGGCCCTACCCCGGCCCTACCCCGACCCTGCCCCGGCCCTGCCCCGGCCCCGCCCCTGGTAAGAGCGCTGCCGAGCCGCACTGCCCTGCCGAGCCGCCCGCCGAGCCGCGCCGCCGAGCCGCGCCGCCCTGCCGAGCCGCCCTGCTGAACCGCGCTGCCCTGCCTAGCCGCGTCGCTTAGCCGAGTTGCACTACTGCTGCTGCTAGCCTGCTGCTTCTCCTGTCATGGCTAGTCCCAGTATTCTTACCTTTGATGCTGAGGGTCGAGCGGTTGACTTCGAGGTCTGGCTAGATGATCTGCAGCTTTTCCTACAGTGCGATAGCAAGGATGGTCTCTCACTGTTCGATCTCACGTCTGGCGCCTCTACTGCCCCTGCTGCTGATGCTGACAGTACTGTTCGCTCGCAGTGGACCACGCGCGATGCTGCTGCCCGCCTTGCTGTGCGTAGTCACTTACCGTCTACTGAGCGCGCGCACTTTAGTCAGTACAAGAGTGCTAAGACTCTGTACGATGCTGTAGTTGCACGCTACTCTTCCCCTGCCACTGCTGCGCTTAGCCACCTCATGCTACCGTACCTGTTCCCTGACCTCGCCGCTTTTGCCACAGTCACTGACCTCATTACGCACCTCCGCACTAGTGACACCCGCTACCGCGCTGCGCTTCCTGCTGAGTTCTGCGCCAAGAACCCCCGCCCCATGTACATCACCCTCTACTACCTAGTCACCCGACTCCCTGACACCCTTCGCTCGGTCAGGGACCACTTCCTCTCTCTTTGCCTTACCACACTCACCGTTGACCTTCTCGAGGAGCGCCTCCTTGCAGCAGAGACTAGTATTACCGCTGTAGGAGCCTCTCGTGGTGACCCCCGTACCCCTTTCTTTGAGGGGTGCTCTCCCGTTCCTCTTTTGCCCTCCGTTGCCTCTGCTGCTGCTGTCGACCTTGTTGGCACCGAGTCGGTCAGCGCTGCGTCTGCTCCTAGCGAGAGGCGCCGCAACGGCAAGGGCAAGCGGGGCAAGGGCGCTGGAGGAAGTGGCGGGGGAGGAGGTAGTGGCGGTGGAGGCGGAGGAGGGGGTGGGGGTGGGGGTGGAGGCAAAGGTGGGGGCTTCGGTGGCAGCGGTGGAGGTGGAGGCAGCGGTGGCGGTTGGGGTGGAGGCGGCGGAGGTGGAGCTGGTCGAGGCGGAGCTGTGCAGCGGGGACCCCAGCACCAGCCGCGCTCTCGTGAGACCCCGTCGCCACAGCAGCTTCGTGAGTGGTACGCAGGGCGCCAGGGGTCTGGGGGTGCTGGTCCCTGTACCTACGTCCTGCGCACCGGCGACCGCACTGGAGAGCAGTGTGGCGGGCTGCACGCCACCCAGCGCTGCTTCGGTCGCCTGACTGACGCCTGGCGTACCCAGTTCCCTGACGCCACTGAGATCCCTCGCTGGGGTGATCTGCTCAGGTCGGGTGTAGCTATCTTTGATCTTGACTTTGATGCTATTCTTGCTGCCATGTATGCTGTGTCTATTAGTGCTGAGGGTGACTGTTACGTGTGTGTTCCAACTGACTCGGGCATTGAGGCTGCTGCTCTAGGTGCTAGTGAGTCTGCTGCTCCAGGTGCTCGTGAGTCTGCTGCTCCAGGTACTAGTGCGTCTGCTCTCTCAGGTACCGCATCGGCTCAGGTGTTGCACACCTTCACCCTCGACTCGGGTGCTTCCCGCTCCTTCTTTCGAGACCGCACCACCCTTACGCCGCTCAGTCGGCCGGTTGCGGTCTCCCTGGCAGACCCCTCTGGGGGTCCTGTTCTTGCTCACTACTCCACTGTTCTCGTTCTCTACGAACTTGGTGAGTGGTGCTGACCTTCAGGATGGCGGGGTTGACCAGTTCACTCCTGCGAGTCAGCGAGTGACCCACTGCACGTGTGCTCGGACGGGCCGCCACTTGGCCATGTTTACCCGCCGACCGGGGTCGAGCCTGTACACACTGACCACAGAGTCTCCACCTGTTGCTGCGTCTGGTTAGGTAGCTGCGTCGGGTCAGGTGTTTGCTGCAGCGTCTCGGTCAGGTCCTGAGTCTGCCCCCTGCTCGTGTCGCCTCTTGTCCCACCAGACCCTCCTCTGGCACCACCGCCTTGGTCACCCCTCCTTGCCTTGCCTCCAAGGCATGGCCTCCCGTGTCCTTGTCTCTGGTCTCCCCCGGTCCCTCCCTCCCCTTCCCCCGGGGCCTGCCCCTACCTGCGTTCCCTGCGTCGAGGGGCGGCAGCGCGCCGCTCCTCACTCCTCCGAGTTTCCTCCAACAGAGGCTCCGCTGCAGACTCTTCACTTGGACGTGTGGGGCCCAGCCCGCATCCGTGGACAGGGTCACGAGCGTTACTTCCTGCTGGTGGTTGACGACTACTCGCGTTACACCACAGTCTTCCCCTTGCGCAGCAAGGGTGAGGTCACTGAGGTGTTGATCGACTGGATCCGCGTTGCTCGTCTCCAGCTCAGAGAGCGTTTCGGCTCGGACTTTCCTGTTCTGCGTCTGCACTCCGACAGAGGTGGAGAGTTTTCCTCTGACCTTCTGCGAGCCTTCTGTCGTGCGGAGGGCATCCGCCAGACGTTCACGCTTCCGGCCTCTCCACAGCAAAATGGGATTGCTGAGCGCCGCATTGGCATGGTCATGGACGTCGCTCGTACGTCCATGATTCATGCGGCTGCTCCCCATTTTCTGTGGCCGTTCGCGGTTCAGTACGCGGCGCATCAGATCAACCTTCAGCCCCGGGTCTCCATGCCGGAGACCTCCCCTACTCTGCGGTGGACGGGGAAGGTTGGCGATGCGTCTGCGTTCCGTGTCTGGGGATCTCGAGCTTTCGTCCGTGACTTGTCTGCGGACAAGCTGTCCTCCCGTGCTGTTCCTTGCGTCTTCCTCGGCTTCCCCCCTGACGCGCCTGGTTGGCAGTTTTACCACCCCACCTCGCGTCGTGTTCTGTCCTCCCAGGACGTCACGTTTGACGAGTCGGTTCCGTACTACCGTCTCTTCCCCTACCGCACTGCCCCCCTCCCCCCCCCGCCGCTCTTCCTCACGCCCGTTCCCCCCCCGGTAGACCCCCTCCACCCTCAGGGTCCTGCCCCCTCAGGTGTGTCCCAGGTAGATGCAGTCGAGCCTGTCAAGGTAGCTGTTGACTCTGGTACTTCTGGGGGTGCTGAGCCTGAGCGTGCGGAGCCTGGGGGTGCTGGGTCTGGGGGTGCTGAGCCTGAGCGTGCGGAGCCTGGGGGTGCTGGGTCTGGGGGTGCTGAGCCTGGGGTTGCTGAGAGTGGGGGTGCGGAGCCTGCCGGTGCTGGACCTGGAGGTCCTTCGGGTGCTTTGTCCCGGCGGGAGCTACCCTCTCCACAGGAGCTGCGTGAGTGGTTTGCTCGGCGCTGGAGCCGTGCTGCTGGAGCTGGTGGTACTGCTGGTGCTGGAGGTTCTGCTTCTGCTGGGGGTGCTGGAGCCACGAGTCCCGGAGGTGCTCGTACTGGAGGTACTGGAGCTGCTGGGCGTGGTGGTGCTACTGGTGCTGGAGCTACTGGTGGAGCTGGAGCTGGCGGTGCTGCTGGAGTAGGTACTACTGGAGGTACTGGAGCCGGAGCTACTGAGTCTTCCGGTGGTCCTGCTGGAGCTGGAGCTGCTCTGGGTGCTGGAGGTCCTGGAGCTGGAGGTGCAGCTGGAGGTACTGGAGCTGGAGGTGCTGCTGGAGCCGGTGCTCCTGTGGGTGCTGGAGTTGGCGCTCCTGGAGCTGCTGGTGGTACTGCTCGTGCTGGTGGTACTACTGGAGTTGGTGCTGACGCTGCTGGTGCTGGTGCTGTCTCTGCTGGTTCTGGAGGCGCTGCGCGGCCGCGGCCGTACTTCGTTCCGCTCCTTGAGCAGGTTCTTGGTCTTCCGCCTTCTTCTGGTCCTGCTCCTTCTTTAGAGTGTCCACCGCCTGTCCAGTCCGAGTCACAGTTACAGCTGGGCTCCCCTCTTCCTGCTTCTTCTCCCTACGCTGGTCCTACTGGAGGTCTTGCTGAGCGTCGTGAGCCTGAGTCGCGTCCTGCGTCGCCTGTTCGTACTGCTCGCACTAGTCGTCGTGTTCCACGTCAGCGTCCTCCTGCGGTCCCGGGCACGCATCAGATGGCACTGCGTCCTTCCACTGCGTCACAGCGTATCCCTTAGCCGTCTCCTCCAGCGTCCTCTCTTCCTGCTCTTGCTGACCCGGAGTCTAACTCCCTTCGTGCTGCCAGTCCTACTGTCACGCGTTTCCTAGCCACTGCTGTCACTGACCCTTCCTTTGAGTCCGCTACTGCGTCTGCCTTAGTTGCCGAGCTTGTCGACTTCGCTGCTCACTGTCGTCTAGACTACGCCGCTAGTCTTGTTGCTGAGTCTGCGTCTGTCTGTCCTTCGTCCGTCGGGGGTGAGTGTGCTCTTAGCACGGACGTCCTTGAGGACAGACAGGAGGAGTTCCAGTGTTTTGCCGCTGCTTTACCTCATCTCGTGTCCACGCTGCTTGCCCCTTAGGGAGACCCGGATGCACCAGACATCCCGACCCCGCGCTCTTACGCAGAGGCGATAGAGGGTCCCTACTCCTCTCAGTGGCAGGCAGCCATGGATGCAAAGATGGCTTCCTGGAAGTCCACAGGCACCTACGTCGACGAGGTTCCCCCACCTGGGGCGAACATCGTTAGTGGCATGTGGATTTTCAGGGTGAAGTGGCCGCCGGGTTCTCCGCCTGTCTTCAGGGCGCGTTACGTGGCTCGAGGCTTCAGTCAGCGGCAGGGAGTTGACTACTTTCAGACCTTCTCCCCGACCCCGAAGATGACCACTCTTCGGGTTCTGCTGCACGTCGCTGCTCAGCGTGACTACGAGCTTCACTCCCTTGACTTCAGCACAGCTTTCCTACAGGGCAGCCTGCACGAGGAGATCTGGCTGCGCCGCCCACCTGGCTTCACTGGGTCGTTTCCTCCTGGTACCCAGTGGAGCCTACGGCGGCCAGTCTACGGTCTTCGCCAGGCGCCCCATGAGTGGCACGACACACTGAGGACTACGCTTGCGGCTCTTGGGTTTGCTCCTTCCACTGGTGACCCGTCGCTGTTTCTTCGCACCGACACTTTGCTGCCGCCGTTCTACATCCTCGTGTACGTCGACGACTTGGTGTTTGCTACGGCTGACACTGCTGGACTCGCCCACGTGAAGTCCGAGCTGCAGAAGAGACACACGTGCACAGACCTGGGTGAACTGCGCAGCTATCTTGGCTTGCAGATCACTCGGGACAGAGCACGGCGCACCATTACCCTGACTCAGTCACACATGGTGCAGCAGGTCCTTCAGCGCTTCGACTTCATGTACTCCTCGCCTCAGGCCACTCCTCTGTCTACTCGCCACTCGCTCTCAGCTCTGCCTTCGGATGAGTCCGTAGAGCCGAGTGGCCCGTACCCAGAGCTTGTTGGCTGCCTCATGTACCTGATGACCTGCACTCGACCTGACCTGGCATACCCTCTTAGCATCTTGGCACGCTATGTTGCTCCTGGGAGACACCGACCAGAGCACATGGCTGCAGCGAAGAGGGTGTTGCGCTACCTGTGCAGTACGTCGGGCATGGGGCTAGTGCTTGGAGGGCGGAGTCCAGTGGTCCTCACTGGTCACGCAGACGCGTCTTGGGTTGACGACCTGGCTACGCAGCGGTCGTCACAGGGTTACACCTTCAGCCTTGGTTCCGGCTCTGTTTCGTGGCGGTCTACTCGCTCTTCTTCTGTTCTCAGCTCCAGCTGTGAGGCTGAGATCTACGCAGGGGCCATGGCTGCACAGGAGTTACGCTGGCTCACCTACCTGCTGACTGACCTCGGTGAGCCGCCTCGTTCTCCTCCAATTCTGTACGTAGACAACAAGGCCATGCTGGCCTTGTGTCGGGAGCACAGACTGGAGCACAGAACGAAGCAGATTGCTCTTTGCTACTTCCTTGCTCGTGAGCTGCAGCAGCGTGGTCAGCTGCGTCTTGCTTACGTGGCCTCCCAGGCCAACACTGCTGATATCTTCACCAAGGCACTTCAGCCTTGTGATCATCAGCGCTTCTGTACTATGCTAGGTCTTGTGCCTACTTGGCCTCACTTGCTTACCTCTTGACTTTACTTGTACTGTGATATATATATACCTGCACTTGCTTGTTTACCTTTTATATATAATCCTGCATGTGAACTGGCCTTGTGGCCTTTGAACCTGTGCTCGGAATGTGTGGTGACGTTGTGATCCACCCTGAGCTTGCTTTGCTTTGCTTTGCTTGACTGGTCTTGTGACCCCTTGTTCTCCCCCACTTTGCCTATGGGGGTGTGTCAAACATTAATCACATAGCCTGTCTAGGCTGTAGTGGGGTAGACACTATGGGGTACAGTTTTCTAGGGTTTCATATTTGTACCCAACTCAATTCCCAATCATTCATTCCTATTTCTTCACACATCTGTGGGAGAGGAAGAGGGTGAGGAGGAGGAGGCGGCGAATAGCAGTGGAGGGGAGGAGGAGGAGGTGCCCACCAAGGCTCGAAATGGCCAGGATCCTTGGGACATTAGTGACGGGTCTAGTGGGGAGGAAGAGGAGGAGGCGGATGACGATGAGGAGGAGGAGGAGGAGGAGGAGGAGGAGGAGGAGGAGGAGGAGGAGGAGGAGGAGGAGGAGGAGGAGGAGAAGGAGGAGGAGGAGGATGAGTAGAGTAAAGAGGGGGTTGCAGGTCAGAGGAGGAGAGAGAGAGAGAGAAGGATAGGATAGGGTAGGAGTAATGAGTAGTGTGGGCGGTAGTAGTGGCAATGGTAGAGTTCTGATTGTAACACTCTGTTCTATTGTTATGCTAGGCTAGTGTTTACCTTCCGCAACCTTGTAGAGCTATTTTTTGTGATTGCTATTAAAAAAAAACACCACAAAACTAGTCTATAAAAAATACGGCGTATTTTTTTATATTTGGCCGTAAAAAACGACCGTATTATACGGACCGTATAATACGATAGCCGTCATTTTGATCCTTGGTCTTGTCCGCCGCCGCCGCAGCCGCCGCTGAAACCCGCCCCACGGAGCAAGCGCCAGCGGCGGCTCCCCACGTGGCAGTTTCTGAGAGGTCGTCTGCGTCTGTTACTGAGGCGCCTCAGAACCAATCAGCGCCAGCATCCTGGGAACACGTGGCAGCGCTTGGAGGAGCCGAGGACCCTGCAGCACTGGCAATGGCAGCTCCTGCTGTTGCTGGAGATGCTGCGGTTTCTGCTGCTTCATCAACTTCTGCGATTGTTGCGGCTGCTGCTGCTGCTGCTTCTTCTTCGACTTCTGCTACTTCTGTGGCTTCTGCGGTTGAAATTTCTGGAGTTTCTGCCGCTCCTGCGGTTTCTGCGGCACCAGTTGCGGACAGGAGTTCAAAAGGACTGGTGGCACCGCAGCAGTGTAGTCGGCGGCTCATCCCAAGCTGAATAATGTCGTCAGTGGTGAACGCGTTAACATTGCAACGAGCCCGTCCCCACCAGCTGCCGCCTAACCCGCTCCCTCCGTCTTCCTCACTCCCCGGCGCGGGCGGGCTCCCCCCGTCTTCCTCCCTCTCCAGCAGCGGGAGGCTTGCCGCCCGCGCCGGCTGGCCAGCTGTAGCGGACAGTTGTAGCAAGGGCCGCGCCTTGCCGCCGCCGCCGTCACCGCCACCACCGCTGCTAACTCCTTCCCCCCCCCTGCCACCACCTCCCCCACCTCCTCCCCCACCGCTGCCGCTGCCGCTGTATCAGAGGCACAGGCCGGCAAGCTTGGATCTGGAACGGGTGGGAATCAGCAGCGGTGGGGGCTCAGCTGCTCACACAAACAGCGCTGGCGCCGGCGCGCTTTTCGCCCAAGGGTTGGCTTGTAACGAATCATCTAGTAACGAGGTTTCTCGTAGCGCGGGTGGGGCAGGAAGAGTGCAGGAGACCTCTACAGCAGGCGGAGGAGCCGGCAGCAGCAGCAGCAGCAGCGGCAGCGCTCGTGCTGACGTGGTGCTCGGAGCTGGCCCGAACGCTGAGTACACGTGTGCCAGCGTGGCATCGTCCCACGTGGACAACTAGTCCACGTGGAGCTCTCCCGGCACTCCCTTATCGCCTCTCGACGCCACCGGAAAGCCGTCTCAGCAGGACGTGTCCTCCCCGTGCGAATCCCCTGCCACTCACGGCTCTTTCAGCGACAGCGACGTACCATCCACGGTCTCCAGTCGGGGGGACAACTCGCCAGGCGAGATGGATTCCGTCTCTCTGCTCACCACCAGGGCGTCTCTGTCCCTGCATGGGTTTCAGACCGAGTCGCATATGGGGTCGCGAATGGAGTCGCAAATTGAGTCCCATTTGTGTCACACTCTGGTCCCCGCTCCGAGCGGTACCAGCAGCCGGTCTGGCAGATCTGGCCGGTCTGGCCGGTCTGGCCAGTCTGGCCTGTCTGGCAGATCTGGCTGGTCAGATGGGTCCTCGGGTGGAGCTTCCCGTGATTCTAGAGCAGATTCTCGTTACGCCGTTGTTCAAAACCGTGCTGATCGCGGCGGGTACGATGGCAGCGGTACGAGCCGCGATGGAAGCAGGAGCAGCAGGTATGGCAGGGGTTATGGCGGTGGGGGAGGTCGGTACGAGCAGGAAGGTGCGGGGAAGGTTTTGGACAAACGCGCGCTGCTCTGCCCGCACTTTCGGTTCTGCCCCGGCTGCGGTTACCAGCTCGTGGACGGGTCTACAGTAAACCGCGCGTTACAAGCACATGCGTTACGGGAACACCCTCCGCTACAGGAACGGGAGTTGGCGAACCGGCTGCCGCTGCGACCGAGCCTGCAGGAGCAGTATAAGCAGCAACAGCAGCGACAGCACTGGGAGCAGGAGCAGCAGCGGCGGTAGCAGCAGCAGCAGCACAACATTCGTTATAAGAACAGCCGGCCTTCCCAGGGTCGGTCTCAGGAGGCTGGTGACTCTGTGCGAAGGCTCGTGCGCGCTGGAGGTGAGTTGATCGACCCTCGTTATAGTCACACTGTTTCTCGTGTGAATTCCCGCGGAACCGCATCGGAGCGAACACGAAGTGAGGGAGAGGACGGGGAGGAAGAGGAGGATGAAGAAGAAATGGCGAGGGTGGGAGTGAGCGGGGGAAGGGAGGTTGGGGCGGAGAAGGGAGGGGAAAAAATGGCGGCGCTGGTTACAGTGGTTGGGGCAGATGGGAGGAGGCGTCGGGCAGTTTTGGAAATTGTGGGGCAAGGCGAGTTGGTGCTGAAATCCGCAGGAGAGGAGGAAAAGAGGAGGGAAGGGAGGAGGGGAGAGGAGGAAAAAGGGAGGGATGTGGAGGAGACAGGGGAAAGGAGAGGTGCTCAGAGGCAGAGGCAGGAGCAGAGACTGTGCCCGCGGGAAGCACTGAAAGAAATGCGAGGCGCCTGATTGGAGAGGTTGTTGGATTGCGAAGCAACTGGGGAGCCAGTGGGTCCACACAGCGTGATCCTCCAGAGAGGGAGGCTTGGGAACGCGAACCTGAGGGTCGGGGAGGTTCGGCGGACTGGCAGCATGGATTTGAATATCTACAATCTGACAACTCCGAGGAGGAGAAAGGTTGATGTGGATTATGAGATTTTAGTGAGGAGGGTAATTGGGAGGAGAGGGGGAAGGAAAGGGAGGGAGAGATGGAGGAGGATGGGAAGGAGGAGAGGGAGGAGGACGGGTTTGAAGGCGAGAGGGTTGACAATCAAGGCTGGTTAACTTCAGAGAAATCTCAGGAATCGGTTGATGGAGAGGCAGCAGAAAGGGAAACAGTGACAGTGATTGTGTGTGACGGAGGGGAGGAGGAGAGGGAACCAGTTGATGTGTATGAGGATTGCAAATCGGAGGTTCAATCAGTGAATGAGAACGCAGGGAGTGCAGCCGAGAAAGGGAAGGTGCCAAGTCAGGGGATTCTTCAGGTGGATATTCAGGTGCCTAGAGATTCGCCAGATGCAGACGCTGCTCTTTCGTGTTCATTGCACAACCCTGCCAGCACCACCAGCACCGCCAGCAGCCACAATGGCAGTGGCAATATCACCACCATCAGCAGCACAACTAGCACCGCCACTAGTACCAGGAGCAGAAGGAGCAGCAGCAGCACTGCCGCTGCCAAACCCAGTTCTCCTCCACATCCCCCCCACAGCCCCAAGCCCCTCCCTCTCCCGCCTCCCCCACTCCACCGCTCTTCCCCAAGCACCGCCACCCACCCCTCCCCAAGCCCCGCCACCCACCCCTCCCCAAGCCCTGCCACGCACCCCAAGGCACCTCAGGGTGAACCCCAAAACGCACCTCAAAACGCACCTCAAAACGCACCTCAAATCGCACCTCAAAACGCTCTTCAAAACGCACTTCAAGCTCCCCCTCAGAATCCCTTCCGCCCTGCTCCCAGCCCGCGAACCCACCGCCGCATCTCCTCGTGGGCAGAGGGCGGGGGGGCAGGTCCAACCACGTACATGCTGCGGCGGCCATACAGGGATCTGACTCGGTTGTACGAGGTGGGGGAGGAGGAGATGGGCGTGGGGAAGTTTGGGGTGATTTGCTCGTGTGTCAGCCGCGCGACCGGGGCTCTGCTGGCCTGCAAGACCATCAGCAAGCAGAAGATCGAGGTGAGAGTTGAGGCAGGTAGTAACCAGGGATCTGACTCGGCTGTACGAGGTGGGGGAGGAGGAGCTGGGCGTGGGGCAGTTTGGGGTGATCCGGTCGTGTGAGAGCCGTGATGTCCGCTTCGGGCCCGTACGAGCCTGCGAGTACCTCCGGTGCGATGTATGATGGCGTGCCGACAAACTCTGTGAGAGGCACGCCTAGGGCAGCACACAGAAGGGACATTCACGGGAGCACGTAAACACACACACACACTAACACACTCACTCACTCACTCACTCACTCACTCACTCAAGGGGAAATGAGGTTGAGAAATATGAAGACCGTGTTTGACTAAAACAAGTCACAACAGGCCGACACCAGTCACCTGGAACCCGACAAGACGGGCTCGTACTGCCTCACACACGTGTCGTCGTCCCAGTTCATGAGCAGAATATTCCATGGCTTCACATCCCGGTGCACTATCCAGTCCCAGCACGCACCGTTCTACACCGTTCTGCACCGTTCTACACTGTTCTGCACGTACCGTCTTGGAACCTCGCAGCGACGCCAAAGTCAATGAGCTTGACGCACGTGTCATTATCCCGGTTCATCAGCAGAATGTTCTCCGGCTTCACATCCCGGTGCATGATGCCCTGCGAGTGGCAGTACTGCAATGCTTCCACCACTCGCACCAACACCACCGCTGCCTCCTCCTCTGAAAACCCCACTCTCCCCTCAACGCTCCGGTCTCTGCTCCTCCCTGCTCCGAGCCTGTGTGCATTCTCCTTGCTCTGCTTGCTCCAGCGCTGCTTGATGCAGTCGAAGAGGTCGCCTCCTCTAGCGAGCTCCATGAGGATGTGGATGTGGCGGGGGTCCTCCATTGAGTCGTGTATTTCAATGATGCTCGGGTGCCCCTTCACCTGCTGAAGCATTGATACCTCCTTCCGCACGTCCTCCGCGTCTTCTGCTGACTGCGGGGCGTAGGACCGTTGTGGGGGGGATGGAGGGCAGGGGTGGGGGAAAGCAGACCAGGGAAGGGAAATCAGAAACAGCAGGGTCTAAGGTGCCTCCCCTCCCCACTGCAGCGATCTCCATGAGGATGTGGATGTGGCGGGGGTCCTCCATTGAGCCGTGCATTTCAATGATGCTCGGGTGCCCCTTCACCTGCTGCAGCATTGATACCTCCTTCCGCACGTCCTCCACGTCTTCTGCTGACTGCGGGGCATAGGACCGTTGTGGGGGGGGAGGGAGGGCAGGGGTGGGGGAAAGCAGACCAGGGAAGGGAAATCAGAAACAGCAGGGTCTAAGGTGCCTCCCCTCCCCACTCTAGCGAGCTCCATGAGGATGTGGATGTGGCGGGGGTCCTCCATTGAGTCGTGTATTTCAATGATGCTTGGGTGCCCCTTCACCTGCTGCAGCATTGATACCTCCTTTCGCACGTCCTCCGCATCTTCTGCTGACTGCGGTTTGAGGACAGGGAAGAGAGAAACAGGGACAGGATGAGGAGACAGCAATGAGGAGATTTTCGAGGCGATTAGGGAGAAGCCGGTGAAGTTCAAAGCTGCCTGGTGGAGGAAAGTCGGGGCAGGGGGGAAGGAGTTGCTGAAGGGGATGCTTGAAAAGGATCCTGCAAAGCGGATGTCTGCTGTTGATGTTCTTGGTAAGCTATGACCTGCTCTTTCCTCCCCCACCTCCCCCTCTCCTTGCTCCCATCCCTCTTCCTCCACCCCCCCACCTCTAACCCTCCTTTCTTCCTTCCCCCCTCTCCCCCTACTCCGCTTCCCTCCCTTGGCCCGAAACCCTCCCCTCATTTCCAGTTTTTCATCTTTCCCTCCCTTTCGTCTTGTACGTCCATGCACACACATACTATCCATTGTTTCCGAAGTTGTAATCATACTCGCTGCATCCTCATCCATATTCCATCACCCTTTTGGTGTGCGTTTTGTTCTTTCAGGGCACCCATGCATACTAACCCATTCCAGACATACGTAATAATTTGCAGCGTGCTAGCGAGAAGTATGTGTACAGAAAACAATTTATGTTCCATTCTGTCAGCTTGATCTAGGCGTTCACCTTTCTGTGCCCAAGGTGCAGAAACCTGTTCACATGTGATTCTTTTGTCGTTCTGCAAAATAATGACACAATGCATTGATCCACAGCTTGTCAAAACATCTGTAGGTGTAGCTTTGTGATAATGTAGGGTGGTTTATGCGCATTGGTTTGCTGCACCCTCGACTTCTGTCAAACTTCCCACCACCATTACAGAGATACCAAGCCCCTGTGGACGCTCTGTGCCTGGGGAAGAACAGAACAGCTGCATATGGCGTCCCGCTGCTCCAATCCACAATGGAGGCCACAAATCTCTTGTCTTCTACAGGAACATTGGCCACAGAGGCAGATTTCTTATACATTGGCAGTTCAACGTTAGCGAGTAAGCATTCTTCATCTTCCTGCTTGATTTGTTAGATAACTGCTGCCCTGTCAAGCTAGCCCAAAATTTCCATCTGACAAGGAGTGGTTCTTGGCGCAAATTCTCACAATGTCGTTGCTATTGGTTCGCCTTTGCAGGTCAAAGATCTTGCCTACCTGACTCCCTGGTTGATGTGTACATCCAAAGCTCTTTGGATGGCGGTTTTACGACAGCATCTATGGCTGAGCTACCAGCAGGCGTCCAGGATTCGTCATACGTCGTCTCTCTTGTCTCACAGAATCAGATCGCGACCCAAAATGTGCACCTGTGCACATCAAATGATTACCCGCGTGATTTGGCTGTCGAGGGTGCACCAACAATACTTAGTGTCTCAAAACACAGCTCCAATGTCACATATACGGTAAGCTGCAGCATAGCCTTCTTCCTTCTCCAAATTATGCAAGTCAACCAATCATCATCTTTGTTCCAGAACGTTCTTGTCTGACATTGCACTGGATCGTTGATGCAGGGTCCTGGATTCCAAGCAACTCTTCCTTCATTCATTGACAGTGCTGTCGCCTCATACCTGTACAAGAACTTCAAGCAGAAAGCATCTACTCGAGTCTATGGTGCCATCCTGGTCACTCGGGTTCCTGAATCCGTCTCTGTGACACCCAAATGGGCGGCAGCGTACCTGATTTACCGTCTCCTTGGAAAGCCCGGCAACACTCCTCCGGAAATAATTGGAAACATTTTCCATGCATCGTATCCTGTGGATGGCTCAGCAGCAACCACCACTGGGGGAAGCATCCTTTGTAAGCGCATGCGTCCGCTATGTGTGGAATCCCACGTGCAAGTGTTACGTGACAACGCCATGCTGATGCATTTAGTTAGGGGAATGTGGGGCGTGGTAACCCCCTGTATGTACATTATGTCTTCTGTTCTTGTAGATATCTGTACTATAATTGTTTTGTCGTAAGACAAAGCCCTGGAAAAGCAGCACGACAAGGGCTAAAACGATTGTAATTAGCTCCTTCATGTGTCTCATCATGAATTTACACAACATACCGGTTAATGGGGAACTTGATTTCTAACTGTGTCTTCTGTAGGCTATCAAGTTTCCCTTTACAAGCTGACAACCTTGATCAAGTTTTCCTGCATGCCCTCTTCTCACTATTATAGGTCAACACTGTACATGTGACAGAACTGCACATGAAAGGTGAAGGGCGTTTTGAGATTGCACACCTTGACAAGGCCCACCCACGCTATCTTCCGTACTTGCTGGCAGGCACGTGAAGGAACTCAATCAAATACCGTACAATTGTTTGAGCCACCTTTTAGTATAATGTCGTCACCAAGGTTTTCACATACTAATTGTTAATGAGGTCCTGATTGATCTTCCAAATGCGCAGGCCGTAACCAATGCGAATCAGGGCGAGCTCAAAGAGCATATGGAGTATGCTGGTAGGCCGGAGCTTGGACCCTGGGATCTCCGTCCAGGCAACTGCAACCTCTGCCACCCTGATGTGGAGCTTCTTGCACAGGTACAGCAACTCCACATCAAATGTCCATCTGGAGGGGAGTGATGGGAAAAGGGAGCAAGAGGCTTTTGAAACGCCTTGGAAATATTTTTGCACAGGTATGTATCACAGGTATACCAAAAATATGATTGACGGGAGAGGGGACAGAAAGCACCAGAGAAAGCAGAAATCGGTCGATTGGGACATAGCAGCTGAGGAGAATACATGATTCTGCAACTTTGTTCCCAATGCAGTCATTAAGTAATGATGCGTGTAGCTAGGTTAGTAGCCAGCTTACCTGTTGAGCCTCTGATTGCGGAAAAGTTTTCGGGCAGCTGAGCGAGTGAACATTTTAAATCCACACTGCAATAGAGGGAGGCGAAAACAAGGAAACAGTAGAAATGAAAACACGGAAGAAGTCGGCTGAGAGTTGGCACAAGGGAGGCAAGAAGCAAACCCATGCATTTATTCCAAAGGTTTGCAGCCTTTGAAACGTCTCAAAAGGTATCCTCTCATGTGTGTGCCCCCTTACCTGTGTGTCTCTCACTCCCGTCCCCCCTGTAGCAAGCAGCACTGCAAAGTAGAATCCGTACATGAGCACGTTGCGATACCACTTGCGCTGACGGAGAGAAGGGGAAGGGGTAGGAGTATAACACAGCAACAATTGCGATGCAATGAGGGGAGAATAGGCACTGCAAAGTAGGAGCTGTACATGAGCACGTTGCGATACCACTTGCGCTGCGGTGGGAAGGGAGAGGGTGAGGGGGAGGGGGAGGGGGGAGGGGGAGGGGGAGGGGGAGGGGGAGGGGGGAGGGGGGAGGGGGAGGGGGAGGGGGAGGGGGAGGGGGGAGGGGGGAGGGGGGAGGGGGATGGGGATCACAACAATAAAAATGGGTGGAAGCAGCATAGCAAAGCAGAAGCCATACATGAGCACGTTGCGATACCATTTGCGCTGCGGTGAGAAAGGGAGAGGGGGGAAAGCAAAGCAACGATGACAATGGGTGCGACCAGCAGGAGGCGATAAGGAGAAGCCGTACTGGAGCACGTTGCGATACCATTTGAACTGCGATTGGAAAGGGAGAAATGGCATGGAGACATATACAACAATCGTCGAAATGAGAATGAGTGGCAAGGGGGAGGCGCATTGCAAAGTAGAAGCCGTGCGATGACCACGTTGCGATACCACTTGCACTGCGGTGTGACTAGGGAAGGGAGAGAGTAACAAGGCAACCAATCGTGATGACAGGTACAAGGGAGAAGGAGCATAGAGAAGTAGCAACCACACTCACGACCACGTTGCTGTACCACTTGCGCTGGAAAAGAGAGAGGGATGGAATGAAGAGACGTGGTACGAGAGTGCCACACGAGGCGACGGCACATGGTAACCACAAGCACCGCACACTTACCAACCACTCCACTCATCCATTCCACTCACATCGATGGGCCCTTTCCTCTAAAAAGGTTTTGTCTGATAGGAGTGAAGCATTGAATGAAACCACGAACAGTGCGCAGTATGTAACCACCTAGTAGAACCAACTCACATTGACGAGCGCTTTCTTTTCAAGATGAGCGCGCGAACCAAAAGCCACCAATGAGGCGCTGCCAATGCCAGGACACGTGGCGACAGGTGATTGGCTGTCAACCGGTTCCCCTTTGGCCATGCTGACAATCTGAAACAAGATGAGGTGAGACGGGGCTAGGAGGAGTCTTAAGGCACAGGCAGTGACACCGATGCTGCTGATAATGACACTGACAATGACACTGACAATGACACTGATAATGACACTGACAATTTGACTCACGAGGCACCAGAGTAAAGAGAAAAATGAGACGAGATCCTAAAAGAGGTATCATAGTTGACTACATTGGCCTCTCCCTTCTCAAAAACTCACTCAGTCACTCACTCTCATCTCTCCCCTCTCCCTCACCTCCCTCTCCCCTCTCCCTCACCTCTCTCCCCTCCCTCTCCCCTCCCCCTCACCTCTCTCTCCAGCTTCTCCAGGTCTGCGAACCACAATGCTGCACAAGGTGAGTTCTCAGAGACCTCCACTCACTCCACTCTCTCCCTCACCTCCCTCCCCTCTCCCTCCCCTCTCCCTCCCCTCTCCCTCACCTCTCCCTCACCTCCCTCTCCCCTCCCCCTCACCTCCCTCTCCCCTCCCTCTCCCCTCCCTCTCCCCTCTCCCTCCCCTTTCCCTCCCCTCTCCCTCCCCTCTCCCTCCCCTCTCCCTCCCCTCTCCCTCACCTCTCCCTCACCTCCCTCTCCCCTCCCCCTCACCTCCCTCTCCCCTCCCTCTCCCCCTCCCCCTCACCTCCCTCTCCCCTCCCTCTCCCCTCTCCCTCCCCTCTCCCTCCCCTCTCCCTCCCCTCTCCCTCACCTCTCCCTCACCTCCCTCTCCCCTCCCCCTCACCTCCCTCTCCCCTCCCTCTCCCCTCTCCCTCCCCTCTCCCTCCCCTCTCCCTCCCCTCTCCCTCCCCTCTCCCTCCCCTCTCCCTCACCTCCCTCTCCCCTCCCCCTCACCTCCCTCTCCCCTCCCTCTCCCCTCCCTCTCCCCTCTCCCTCCCCTTTCCCTCCCCTCTCCCTCCCCTCTCCCTCCCCTCTCCCTCACCTCTCCCTCACCTCCCTCTCCCCTCCCCCTCACATCCCTCTCCCCTCCCTCTCCCCTCCCCCTCACCTCCCTCTCCCCTCCCTCTCCCCTCTCCCTCCCCTCTCCCTCCCCTCTCCCTCCCCTCTCCCTCACCTCTCCCTCACCTCCCTCTCCCCTCCCCCTCACCTCCCTCTCCCCTCCCTCTCCCCTCCCTCTCCCCTCTCCCTCCCCTCTCCCTCCCCTCTCCCTCCCCTCTCCCTCCCCTCTCCCTCCCCTCTCCCTCCCCTCTCCCT